AGCTGCCTCCACCAGTGTGTGAATGTGAGAGTGAATGAATAGTTGAATTGTAAAGCACTTTGACGCCCCGGAAAGCACTATATAAATGCAATCCATTATTATTATTCTTTTATAATTTTGATTTTTTTTGTTTTCTGAAGTGATGCAGATGACATGTGACATCTCTTCTGTTCTGGGTCAATCTGATCCGCAACATAACAGGGGGGTTAAAATGCTAAAAAACAAACAAATAAAACCAATACTTCGAAAAAACTTTAAAAAACAAAAAGAGAAAACATTTTCATAGTCGAATCAATAAGAATGAGTAATAATTTTATTCCGCAGAAATAAAGTGGGGGGCAGGGGTTTAAAGGTTATTTTAATGCAATACTTGTCCAAACATTTATGGAAAAAAAAAATTGGACATGTGCATACCAGTTCCCCTTAATTCCTATGAAATATTTAAGTGTCCAAGATACCTTAAGGCCCTGCAAAACTTTGGGCAGTATACACATCCTATTAAAAACACGAGAAAATAAACCTCACACAAACAGCAGTGAATTAGATGCAATGATAGCTCGATAAACGCGGGATTATTTCCAGTTACAATATTTAAAACTATAATGAACACCTGATGACCCTGAAAAGTTGTGTGCCATCCTGGCAGCATGTTTGTACCACGTGAGTCAGCCCATGAGGCTCACCTGTGTCCCCTCCTGCAACAGCTCCTCCCATCTATCAAACAGGCCCCGAGCTCGAGACAGGGCCTTCTGCACCTCCCTGAACAAAAACACACAACAGGAACATTATCAGCGCGGAAAATCATAGCCAGTTGACTTCGCCCTTTAATCATTTAAAGTACAGGGGTGTTTTCCGAACTGAGCACTGCAGCTACGCCCCTCGGTTAACCAAAACAAACCCCAGTTCCCATGCTTCCTAACTTCGCAACGACTTTAAAGTGCCTGACCACAGCCAGTCCCACAGCTGGCCCGTGTTTTCACTGACAGCCAAGTGGGGTGTGGGTAGAAACGGATTTCAGTGAGTGCTGAGTTCATCGCTCTGATATAAAAAAAAAACAACTCACTGAGCCCCTCTGCGCAGCTGCTACAGTAGCACTAATGCTAACTAGCTAGAGCTAGCCGCTGGGCTAACTTCTCTGATATAACTTTGCTTTGAGGGGAAAAATAGCAACAACCCCGCGTAACTAACACTCAACACGCTAAAAGCTGTAGTTAGTTTATAACAACGAGAGCTTTCACGTCTCATTTAGTTTTCATTTCTCACCCCTTCACAACGAAAAATGGGTCTTCTATCGACATGTTGTTTCCTTCCTCTTCACACCTAGCGCATGCGCACGTCACTGGTAGCGCACAGACGTAAAAAAGACGGGGAGGGGAGGTGGAGAGTTGGGGGTGGTATGGTAGTTATATAACTCAGCTCAGTAACAGCTATGCAGGCGCTGTCCGAGCCTCTATTTGCTGGGACTTCGTCACAAGCATAAACACAAAGGACAAGAATAAAACAGTTATAAACAAACAGGTAGATAAAACAGGTATGGGAGCTGGACATAGTATATATTATTTGATTGATTCAAGTACAAAGTGCAGACCATGTACTGCAGATTTGGAAAAGGTGATGGAAAATTCTGTGAGCAAGAGGGGCAAAGTCCATCTGATGATGACAACAGTTTCATGGAAAGTGCTTTCGCCAACCTCAGTGTGAAAATCTGACCTAGGCTGATGTGTCATTGGACACTATGGAGGTCCTATTAGAAATTAATTTGAGACAATCCATGAAAATGGTGAAAGAAAAAAAGGGATAATAGCAGGGTGTTGCTAGGGGAGAGAAAAAAAGCATGCTCGGCAAATCATCCACAGCCGTGTTTGCATGCCTCCATCCTGTCCTACCCATTTGTCTCTATTTCTGTGGGCTTTTCTCAAGCCCACCCTGTCCTGCCCAGCTCCTTCCTTCCTTCCTGTCGTCATCCTGCACTCCCCCAATTCCTCCCATCCTGTCCTGAGAAAATTCACAGCTATAGCTATAAATGTCCCGTCTTCTGTTCCAGGTTCTCTCAGTCCAATGGAGCACGTTTGGAATGCGGCGGCACGGCTGATTCTCATCATTGTCGGTTTGCCAATGACAAATCTGCAAATCTGACAAACTGTGTGATGCTATCGTGTTGATACGCAACAAAATGTGTGAGGAATGTTTGCAACACTTTGTTGAACTCGTGGTGACTGTTCTTATTTAAAAGACTAAACTCTTATTTTAGTACAGCTGAAAACTACCAAGCTGATCAAACGAGGAGTAAATTTGCCCAGTCAAGCATCTGAAGCATCATCAGTGGAGGGTGTGAGGAGCTTTCAAAACTCACCAGATTTTTTTAAAATAAAAAAGTGTGTTTTTCCCCCCTGTGTTTGGGAAACATGGTGTACAACTCCTTTTTAAAAAACACTGAAATCTGGCTCTTCTAGGTGTCATTTAATAAGGACCAGTGAGGCATCCTGTTCTCGTCTAGATGAAACTGTAGTATGAAATCGTATTTTCCCCCCTTGTGGAATAGACTTCATTTCTTTGTTTTGAAGATTTGATTTGATTGTGAAAGGTCAGAAAATAGTCTCTTCTTATCGTCCATTTTCCGACTGCAATCAATTGCACAAACGTCGAAGCTTAAAGATACAAGTAATTGTATCTTTAATCACAACATATTTTAGTCATGCTTACATAGTTGGAAAAGGGGGTTTTCTGATTATCAGTATGCCTTTTAACTTGATGACCTCCCACTAGCTGTGGGAGGTCATTAGCTATGTGTCACTGGAACACAGGAGTGGTTGTAGACAGCGGGCCTATGTACACATGGATATTCCACCGAGGATCATAAACACATTGAAACAGAATTTCAATGGAATACGATCACTGATTCTGATTCCAGTAATAACTACTCATCATCTACAATATTTCTGACCAGTTTCACATCATATTAGGTAAAGATCTTCTCTTTTAAAACCAGGGTTTTTTGTAAGTGACCCCAAGTTTTTGAGGGGTAATAGCACCGAGTCAACATTTACACACAAGTCACAAGTTGATTTAAAGTGCTGTTGTGTTCGCATAGCCGGTACTATCCCAGGCTTTCAGTTAGCGTGTCATAAATGTGATGTCATAAAAGCTTATCTAGATTTATAAATTCCACAAACAAATAGAGAGGTAACCATTGCACATGTAAACACACGCACACAAGAAAGAAGAATCAAAGTTTGAATGCCTTTATTATCCAAAAAGCTTTCATTTTCGTCGTTTGGAAAACTGTCTCCCTCTGTTGCATTTAGAAGCCCTGCTCTTTGCTTATGTGTGCGTCATATGTAAACACATTTCTGGACCATCATTAGGCAGACAAATGTTTGAGCCCCTGCCACACAGTTAGTGATTATACAGCACAACACAGTCACAAACTTTTCACAAATATGCTTTAAAACTAGTTGTAGTCTGTACAGTTTCATGTCCACCATCCTTCGACGTTCTGTTTGAATAAGAGGAAAATACCTTCAAAAACCCCTTTGATAAAAAACTGATACGAGGACACGTTTCTGATTCTTACAAATTCCATTCGTTCTGTCACTCGATCTGTCGCCGTTGCTTCAGTACTGTCCAGCTCAGCTGAAGGCAGATCTGCCTTTGATGGAAACCTTGACTCATTTTTACCCTAACACCGTGATGTAGCAGGAAAATCTTCTTTAGCGGAACAAAACAAGATCTGAACTCAACCAAATCATGCCGGTATAAAAAGGGAAACTGGCTCAGAGTCAACAAGCAGGAAAAAACAGTCAGAGAAGCGAGTCTAAATATAGAAGTCTGACCCATTCCTTTGTGGTGCCTTTAAGTGCTCCCAGTAAGAATGACCTAATGCAACTTGCTGCTGCTAAGTGCGTTCGCACTTCCTTGCAGACCGAGGTGATTTATTTAAACCACTTGTTTTTGTCGAGGCACTGATTTAAAGTCAAGGATGCTGGAACCACAGGGTGTTTGCAGCTTTTGGTTACAAAATTAACAAAAATAAAAAGTAAAAAATGATTACTTGGTTATCACACAGTTAATCCTTTGTCAAGAATCAGAGCCAAGTGTGAATCAGCTCTATTGAGAAACTGCATCTGCTTTTCAAAGCTGTCTAAACGTCTGCCATTTATCCACTGGCTCGTGAGAAAGCAGGTATTATTGCAGATTTTGTTGCATTGTTACGAACACTAGCACAAAGAAAAGGAAGTGCAGTTACACAGAAGACTGCAAGAGTAGTTATAACTGTGTGTTTTGCTTTATTTTTTTATTTTGTGTGTGTTGTTTTCAGTGTCTCATGGGAAGCGCATGATGGGAAGTGACAGTACATGTGGGTCTCACAAGAAATGTGTAGCTCAGAAGGAGATGTGCTAATCTATAGAAGCTTTCCTACTGAAACAGACAAAAGCAGTTCACAACAGAGATGCTGGGACTGGAAAAAGGAAACACCTGAGTGTGCGACTGTTGCATATAAGAATCAATTCAGATTTATTTTCCGCTTCCCATATGGAAAAGAAATAGTAAAAATTTATAAAAGACTTGCATAAGATGTGGCCTATACTGAATCATATAAGGCTTATATGGTTTACTCATGAAAGTGGCCACTTTCTCATTACTTTCATATATTGTTTTAGTAAGTATCCAAAACATACAAGTTTCATTTATATAATTTTTCAAGGGATCTTATATCTGTTTTCACTCTTTTATGCTTTTCATACAAGTTTCACACAAGACACATACAAACTTTATAAGATTTATTTATATCTTTTCCTAAAGTAATTACTTTGTTTACCCGGAGGAAATGTTCAATCAAAGTTGCACTCAAATAAAAATAGAGTTTGTAAAGCTGCAACCGTATAAGTAGAGAGTGTGTGTGTGCTTTTGGATTTACAGCAGGTTTCTCAGCAGGTCTTAAAATCAGGTAAAGACAGACAAACTGATCATCAGCAAGAGTGAGCAACTAAGAAAAAGCAGAGGTTTTGAAAGTTCGCTGATCTGGAGCATTTGGGTGTGTGATAACACAACGGCGAGGAGGAAAAACCTCTACAATGGAATTAAAGAAGAAGTTGCTGCCCATCAGCTTGGGATGGTTTATGGGGCATTTTCAGACAAAATGAAGTCTGTCATTCTACAATGAGAAAGATTATTCAAAGATTGAAGACAGCTGTCAATCTCCGCAGGAGTGGTGGTCTAAGCAAATATACTCCAAAGTCCGACCAAGCAATGCTAAGAGAAACTGCAAAAGTCCCAAGAGCTACATCTCAGACTCTCAGACCGGCCTCAGCCGGTATGCGAAACATTGAAGTTCACGACAGCACATTTAGACAAAGACTGAACCAGTATGGCTTGTTTGGAAGGGTTGCCAGGAGAAAGACTCTTCTATCCAAAAAAAACCAAAAAAAAAACCCACAGCAGCTTAGTTTGCAAAGCTGAACAAATCACAAGACTTCTGGATCAATGTCCTGTGGACAGACAAGACCAAAGTGGAGATGTTTAGCCATAATACACAGGGCAATGTTTGCTGGAAACTAAACACAGCAGATCAGTATAAACACCTCCACTGTCAAGCAAAGTGGAGGAGGGGTGATTTAGACCTATTCTGCAACCACAGGACTTGGACGCCTTGCAGTCACTGAGTCAATGGCGAACTCCTCTGTTTACCAAAGTATTGCAGTGTCACATCTGTCTGACAGCAAACGTTGGAAAAAACTGGGTCATATAACATGGCAATGATCTCGAGAACACCAGCAAATCTACAACAGGAAACAGCCTGACTGAAATGCTACGGTGGGACCTTAAAAGAGTTGTGTAAATATGAATGCCTGCAACTGTCAATGAACTGAAGCTACACTGTCAAGAAGAGTGGGCCAAAAGCCCTCCACAACAATGTGTGAGTGTGATGAAGTCGTGCAGAAAACAAATGCTTCAAATTATTGCTGCTAAAAATGCTTCTAACAGTTATTGAGTCATGGGGTGTACTTGTATTTTTCTTAGATTTTCACACACTGCTTCCACATTTTGGTTCAGCTTTTGTCAGATGACGACGTGGTGTAATATGTGTCATGCACTGTTGTTTATCTAAGGTTGTATTTATCTATTTTTTTTTTTTTAAATTTGGGAAGGACTAAATTATTTTTTATTGTCCTGATAGGTAAAACTTTGGGATTAAAATAGGGTGTACTTTCTCTTTCCCTTGACTGTGGATATCCTACTGAAGAGCATTAACAACCGTCCTTAAAAAATAGAAAATAGACGATAGCAGCTATGGCGCTTTAAAATGTAGGCATATGTTAATAAAATCTCAGCCATTATATAATGTTCATTGTAGCAACTGTTTCTATGCT